GATGGGATTGTCAGATACTCAAGTCAAAACCTGGTATCAGAACAGAAGGTTAGTTTTCCTCTCCTTTTCATATTTCATTCAATTTTTAAACTAACTCAAAGCATTTGTAACAATTTCTTTTCATCTTTCAAACAACTTGCTTGTCTACTTACTCATTCTTCTTCATTTATAATTTGCTTTCACCTTCATTGACTTTTAAAAGTTGTTACCGTATTCGCATAGCAGGGTACTTATCATCAGAATTATTATGAGTCGATTGATGTATCTGTTTTACTAACAAGATAATCGCTTCAAATCGGCTATTCATGATCATTCATCCTTCTCATCTGGCTAAAGAGTTACCTTTTCCTCGCAATTTTCTTTCTTCTAACTCTCTCTCTATATATATACATTTCTCTCTCTCCTTATATGTATGTACTACCATTTTCCCTTCGTTACTCTTCTGGATCATATGAATCACAGTCAGATATGTTAATTTCTCAAAACGAAGTATCTACAAGCGAAGAAAAAATAAGAAAAATCTTCTTCCATAGATTAGTTTCACAAATTTCGTTAACGACTTCACCAATTTAGCACTTAGAAGCTTAAAACTATTTTGAAGTCAACAAATTCAACAACTTTAAGAAGATTTCAATTGTCTTGTCGTCATCATCTTCTTCTATTGCAATTGAATCTTCTTAAAGCACAGATAGCTGCTAAACACGCCACTTTCTAGCCACCCCTATAGACTCTCCTAATACATCTTTTCCTCTAATTAAGGGTTTGAAAATAAGAGAAATTGATAGTTAAAAGAGGAAGCACATACAGACGAAAACATGATAGAGAACTATGAGAGAGACTAGAGATGCGAAAAATTAAAGGAAGAGCTTCACATCGTCCATTACAGCTTCCAGTCTTCTAAATCTCAGTTAAAATCACAGTGCTCTGTGTCTGTTCATTTGAAAGCCTTTTTGCCTTCATTTTGTTTCCTCACAAACTTTCCAAATTGAAACGGAAAAGTTTTTGGGGGTGAAATGGATAAGATTGTCAACCACAATGCATTTACACACACAAAAAAAAGTTTGTAAAAGGGGAAGCTTGAGATAGATAGATAGATGAAAAACATTGAGAGTTATCTAAGGAATCGGCTGTTTCATTTTCATTCCCTTAAGCCTTTCCGACTTCATTGCCTCTTCGTTCATTACCGTATTTGGGCTCTTATCTGTTATATGAAAATTCTAATGAAGATATTCATCAGAAAATGATCATTTTCATCATAATTTTCCATATTAAACGTCATTTTCGATCATGAACGAAAGCTATTGGCAACATACTTGTCATGGCGTTTGTCCCATTTTATGTGAGCGAGGATTACGGTAGCCTCACAGAGTCGAAAGTGGGAGGGACTCTACGCTCATTCATTCATTCTTCGTCGACGTTTGTGTCGAAAAAATATTAGCAATTTTAATTGTTTAAAAAAAACCTTTAAAAGAAGAAGATGAAGAAGAAGAAGAAGAGATTGAATTGTATAAAGAGAATATCTGCAAACGTTACACCTTCTTCATTTTAATTGCAAAAGTATGAACGATACAGAAGTCAATTCTTCATACTTACACTCACTTCAAAGTGCCAATTAGCCTCTCTTCACTGGACAATTATTTTGAAGAAAAACTTTTATTCAAGAAAATCTGTCACATAATACTCTTTCAATCATCCTTTAACTTTATTTTTTTTCACATTTTTCATTTCTTTTCTTTCAGAACTAAGTGGAAGCGACAAGCTTCAGTCGGAATTGATCTTCTTAATGAAGCTGGAAATTTTGCTGCTGTTCAACAAGTCTTACGATCAAATCCATATTGGGCTAGTTATCTGAGCTCTGCTCCTGGACTAGCTGCTGCTGCTGCAACTACACCAACACGCATGCCACAACCACCTCCAGGAGCTATGGCTGCTTTCTTACCTGCTGGACTCGCATCATTTCCGGGAGCTGCTGGATTTCCGGCTAATTTGCAATTCTTATCATTCATGCCAACCACAGCTTCATTAAATGGTCAAAGCTGTATATCAGCAGTCACAACACCCAGCACTAACACAACATCATCAGCTTCAAATCTAATCGCTCAAACCCCGAGTTCACCCATAAAGCTTGATCTGGATGTATCATCAGATAAATCAGATTAAGTTATTTGATTTATATTATTTCATGTTCCCACCCTTAACTTCCATATAAGCCCTGTGATGGTCTCGTGATACGTCTGGAAAAAGAAATGCTTCTAATGTAGTTAATGTTATAATGATTTCTTATAAGATGAAGACAACTTTTGTTAATCGGCATTGCCATAGTAATCTTTCGTGCTCTTCGTTAATCAGGGCATCTCATCTGGTTGATAGCTTTAATGTGTGTATACAAACCACTTCTTCTACGTCTTCATAGTCGTTGTCGTTGTGATCGTCATCATGAATATCTTGCAATTATCTTTTCCCATCATACTTTTTCTTTGTCTGAACGAAAAAAGAAGTTCTCATTGATATCTCCTATTGTTTCATTTGCTGGCTTGATCTCCGTCTCTTCATCTTCTGTTTTTCTTTTCGTTTTTCATGTTTTTCGAATATTATATTAAACAAAATACTATTTTGTATATAAAAACATTTTTACTAAACGTTCGTTTAATGACATCTAGCAGACTGTCTGTTGTACTGTCGCCAGATGGCGCGGCTGTCACCTACCCTTATCTCTACCAATTTACCGGTTTATGAAAAATATTTTTTATATGTTACTCTCCTTCATGCATGCCCATCACCTTAAATACAAACATATGGCCTAATATGGTATATGTGAGAGATGAATGATAGATAACTTGTAGTCATTTTGTAAAAAATTTTTTTCATACAAAATATGGGAATGAGAGATGAAAAAATAAAAATTTTTTTTTCTATTTCTGGTCAGCTTTCTGTGATGATTCATATCCATCATTGGTAGTGTTTAGAAGTAAATGGATATTAAGAGAATTCAGACGATTAAACACAAAAAGAATTACCGTAGTCCGACAATTATACGTTCGATAGCTTTTTGTTGTCAAGCGTGAAAATTGACGATGACACCCTCTTTCGTCGAATTTTGAATCAACTTTTTTGTAGTTCCTCTGCATCCTTTTCATTCTCATATTCTTCTCTTTGAGATATTACCTTCATTGGTCAATTTGTATTGAAAACAAGCAAAATAACAAAAAAGTAGAGAGAGAGATGGAGGTGTGTCGAAGTTTGAGAGAGAGAGGAAGGAGGAGAGGAGGAGGTCTGTAAGAGTATATGATAGAGAGAGAAGGGAAGGAGTAGATGAAATTTTAAAATTTCTTAATCTACTTACCGTAAGAGAGTAAATGAAATGAATTTGCTGTTGCAAAACATTGTTTGTTCTTCTCCAAACAAAGCTCTCTCTCTCTCTCTCCCAATGAATTTGGTTTTTTGTTTTTTTTCCATCAAAAGCTCTGTATTAAGCAGATGAAAAACATGTTCAAAAGATTTTTTTTATGAATAAATGACTCTTTTATTGTCTTTTATGAAGAAGTTGTGGATGATTTCTCTCTGGAAATGAATTGAATGGAGATGAAAGGAGCAAGAGAGGGGGGGGGGTTGAAGAAGAAGGAAGAAGATGGTAGAGTTAGCAGGAGTTGAAATAAAAACTTTTTTATGTTAACAATGAGGGAAATATTGGCTGAAGTAGAAGAGTTAGCAGAGGAGTGGGGGGTGGGAAAAGCTTTTCTGTTTACTTTACTTACTGTTAGACATTCAATGTGTTATTGTGTGTTTCATTCTGATTTGCATAGTCGAATCTAGGCTGAAGGATTCCAGCTGTGTTGTAGATTGACAAATCTCTTCATTATTAGGTAACGAGAGTTGTATTAAGCATGAAGAAGAGAACGATAATCCATGTAGCTACTTGTTTTACTTATTATTAAGGTGAGATTGACCTATGATCCAATGAAGAGATTAATTGCAAATGGATTATTGTCAATCCACAATTGAAACAATGACAGACAGGAAGTGAAGTGAACTCATCTTCTCATTCGATATTGATATCCTCATCGTCGTCGTCGTCGTCATAGATGAAGGAACATATTATGATGAAATAGTTATTTAACATATGGTCATTCATATCATATAGTTATAGTAACAAATATTATTTTTAATAAAAATACTTTTGGAGGACACTACGAAGCCATCTGGTTGACAATCAAATCGTTATTAGACAAGCTTCTTGCCTTTTGCAAATGACATTAACTTACGCAATAACGCATGGCCTTACATCATGGTTAACATATACTATATCTTAATTATATTCTATTAATTACCAATGTTGGTTATAAAATAAACTTCATTTGACTCAAGCTAATCTTCATCTTCAATAGTTATATTCTAATGTACACGTAACATTCCACGTCACTTCACTGCACGTGAAAGATTACGTGAATGATGCAGCTTGCAGCAGCACACAAATCATTTAAGTTTCAAGCATTGACACTGAACGGTTGGTAAATATCTTTTGAAAAGCTTCTTCTCCTTAACACTCACGAATGCTTTTTCTGTTTTTCGTTTTTGGGAAAAGAGAACAAAAAAAAGAAGAAAAAGAGGTAAAGACCTAAATTAGGGCAAAAATAAGAAAATTTTTGTCATTTGTTCTTAACTATACTATGCTAACTAATAAATAATTACCGTAATCGGACGATTTGATTGTTGGAGCGTAAAAGAGACAATTGTAAGATGAATAGTCAAATGTGTGTAGAAGAGCAAAAATGACATAGAGAGTGCTCATATTCGTTTTGTTCACATAATTACATATATTCTAACTAGTTAACCGGAAATACCTAAAAAGGACATAATGATCATTCATAGAAAGCCTTTTGATTTTTAAAAATACTTTTGAATTGAAGAAACAGATGTTACAATTCTGTATTTAACATTCAACAACTATGACTAAGATATTTAAATGTCCCTAAACTATTATAATATAGTCAATACCTTAATTATACTAACTATATGTAATTGAAAATGGTTAGCCAAAGACTTCCGCTCACTTGTATCTCCTTTTTTGGTCAACGAAGTCATCTGATTCCTTTTAATATTTCAATAGATTCCTCTACTAATTATTTGTCTTCTATCCATTGTTTAATATGAGACAGTCGTTCGTCTCATTCTTTGCTCCGTTTCCATACAAGGACAGCAGTTTGTATATGGAATGTACAACATGGAGGGAATGTGTATTTCACTCATTGAGGGATAAATGAATGATTCAGTTGATTCAAATGGTCAGATATATTTGTTCCAATCAAACTATGCTAATTATAATAATTAGTTAAAGCTGATTAATTTGATACAGTTGACCTATCACATAACTAACTGCTGCTTCCGCCCTTCAGAATCATCTGATGAATTGGCTTTCATGGTCATTGCTTCATCATTCTCTCAACAATGAAGAACTGTATACGATGGCTTTGAGAAGGGTGTTATTACTATCAAGGTGCTTCTACTACAACTCTCTCTTCCCACTTCTCGTTTATGTGTCCCGTAACGATTGTAATGACAATTTGAATATGAATCATTTCAATTTATTAGTTTATCAGAATGAAAAAGAGGGGAATGAGTGTTTTGGAGGACGATACCGGTATGTCATGTACATCTGTAGCCCATTCAAATGATCATGCACGTGACTTCACGTAACTGTATTCGTTGTTGTTATTCAGAGTTCAAGATGAACAGTTATGTGAATGGCTGTCTGAAACTAAGAAGTGTGATGTTTAGCAACTGGTGTTCATCTGGTTAAGGCCATGTACAGGTGTAGGTGTTATGTCCTTCGGTACTCTTACCATCGCATAACCGGAAACTAACATAACACGAAGCTGAGTAAGGAAGGTATGAGAAGATGTATTCTAATGAATCCATTTGTATATTTACATATAAGGAATAGAAGATCATATAAGGAACTAAAGATGATTCATTAATTATATGTATTAACTATAATAAATCTTCAGTCACATAATATAATTTTCATCTTTAAAAACCTTCAAATCTACACACTCTTCTAAGTGTTCATTAGATGACAAGTTGAGGACGGTCGTGTGCCTACCGTCACACGTATTCATCTCATACTCTCTTCAATATTCATTATCTCTATAAGATGGTACGTCATCTTATCTGATTTTCAGCCAATCACCTAATACCCAATTACGACATCAAATATTGAACTCCTGCTGTTGTTTTTATTAAAAACTTGATGGTCATCATTGACATTCATCAGAATAATGAAAGAGTCACACATCTTCTAATATTTCAGACGACAATATTTTCTTCTTCTTTTTTGTTACTTACTATCTCCTCAAATGCCTTCTGACAACCCCCGTTACGTCATCCAGAAGGGAACAGGTGCCGATGGATGGGTGTGTGTGTGTGTCTGCGTGTGACTAAAGATAATGATTCCTGTATTTATATTATAATTAAATGATTTTTAAAGGTATCGGTAATGATGAATGAGTAGAAAGAGACAAAAATTGAAAAAGAATTCCATTAGCGTCTCCGATCACGCTCTAATTGTCAATGAAAACAGATGCCATAAGAGGACAAGGAATGTAAAAAGATCAAATGAGAGAGGGAGGGGGCCACACACACACACACATGAGCTATAGAGAGAGAGAAAAGCCAATAATTATGAATATTTTGCTGCGAAATTTCTTTTTTTTTTTTGGTTTTTTTTATATTCTGGCCTGACTCTTGGTGCCTGTTCAGCTTCATCTACTACACTTGCTGCTAATGCTGATGCAGCTTCCGCTTCATCCTACTCAAGCCGTTATATGGCTGTGGGTGTATGGTGATCATGATCGTGATGACGGAAATTACATGAGTTTATGGAATAATTTTTATTTTTTAATTTCAATTTACATGTAAAAATATAATTTGTAACAACATCAATGGGAGAAATAAGACCAGACAAATGATTTTTTCTTTCTTTTTTTTTCCAACAAAAAAAAATATCTTTCTCTTCTTCAGCTTCTTCATCGTTTTCTTCGTCATACTCGGCTTCTTCAGCTTCTTCTTCTTCGGAAGCCGAAATGAGTGACAATGACAAGACAAAACTTATTTTGGATATAATTGAATGAGAATTATTCCGATTTTTCTGTTGATGGCACTTGAGCTGTTGTTAATAAGCCTGAAGATGTAGACAGACTACTGGCTGGCAATAAGAACGGTAATGATGACATAGGAGATGCTGTAGTTGATGAACCGGTTAAGAGCAGTTGAGGTAATGATGAGGGAATGGTTTCACTTGATGTTGTTGAGGTAGTTGTTGGTACTGTTGATGAAAGAGCGCTAGATGATAGTTGCTGGCCAACCATAAATGGCGACATATTCGTAAGATAGCTAGATGCCCAGAGGGGGTTGGTACGAAGAAGTTGTTGAACGGCCGCCAAATTGTTAGCATCCGACAGTAAATCCATGCCGACTGATGATTGTCTCTTCCATTTTGTTCTGAAACAAGTAAGATGTTGTAGCGTGACAGAAGACGAATGGCAAATCGCCAAATTTTAAAGTAATTAAGTGATGGTCAAACATGAGACATGAAATTGCGTCTCAAAAAATTTTGGCTCGATTATCATAGAAGGGTTAGAGGGATGATGGCATGGGAAAAAAATGTGTTAGATGTAATAAAATATAATTATGATAATCACCTAATAAAGTATGAATGACGTCATTAAACAAGGACAGGTGTCATCCATATCATCAAGTAGATTTCTGACTATAATTTCTTTTTTTTTCTTCATTTGGTGGGATATAAGAAGAGAGAGAGAGAGAGAGAGATAGAGAGAGAGTGAGAGATCTCAAAAAAAAAGATAGAGAGAGAGAGAGAGAGAGAGAGAGAGAGAGAGAGGGAAAGTGTAGACTAGAGGGTAATGGGATGGAAATGATTAAAATTGGTTGGAACATCATTTTCAAAGAAGAAAGCAGACTGAATTAATAATGGAATTAATATTTATATGTAACAAATCGTCTTTTGCTCGCTTCTTCATCTTTTCTGTGCAAAACTCTTTCTCATCTCTTGTTCTAGCTTGCTATCTCTTTCACTCAATTTTCTTCTTTTTTCCTTAACTCCTCATAATAAGACAGAAAATGAAGATGAAGATGAGACAAACGAGGTCATATTATTATTATTTAATCATCGGTTCGCCTCTTTTGATGTGGCTTCTCGTCCATACAAGACTATTGATGACAATAATTAAAAGAATTATTCAATAAGAACATTCGAGTCTTCAATAACTTTCCTGGCTTCTCAAATGTTTTCGATCATAAAAGCTATTCTACCGTAGCTTATCTCTTTCTGACTTCTACATCCTTCTTCTCCGCCTCATACTTCTACTACTACTCTCTCTTACTTTCTCTCTCGCAAAAGCTATCTTAAGTCATTAAGTGAATTACAGTACATTAATTGCTTCGATTAAGAGAAGAATACCAAGATGATGTGTATGTGTGTGTGGTGGCGGATTCAAACAAGTAAATTGAGGAGAAAGACTTGTCAGTTTTCTTTTCAATTTTACTCGTCTTCCTCACACATACAGCTTCACTAGATAAGTTCATGACCTTTCTTCAACAAAAATAGATGTCATTCGATGCTCTCGTATGACCTGCCTTATTAGGACTAACACGAATTCTTATGAGATTATCTCAAATACTTAATTGGCGAAACACAGAGTGCAAATTGGATCAGATGACTCAAGCAGAGTTTTTTTTCTGCAAAACCAGGTGGCACATTCACATGGAGGTCAAAAGTAGAAGATCGTTTTGCAATGTTTACGGTATTAGCCGATTGAATTATAGACGAAGAAAACTAACCTTCTGTTCTGATACCAGGTTTTGACTTGAGTATCTGACAATCCCATCTTATTGGCTAATTCCATTCGATCTTGGACTGACAA